CCAAGCACGAGTTATTTACCTGCGCAAATAAACCTGGTTCAATGTTGGTGAATAAATTGAATGGTCGACGCCACCTCCACAAACCGCTTTGTGTACTCACCCCTTCTGGACATCCAACCCTATAAAGGCTGTGGTCTCTTTTGCCAAATTTTTGTCTTCCCTATATAGAAAACCAGCCCCCTTCCCAATGGCTCTTGCGGATCAATTTTTTTGGGATCTTCATCTTCCAGCTCTAGATGAAGTGGCCAGACATTTACAGTACAGGAAGTACTTCAGGCCATCAAGACTACTTGCACCTCAAAAGCACCTAGCCCATATGGCTTTTCTGGTCTGTACTTTTGTAAATTTGTTTATATCCAAGCGCCTCACCTTGTAGCTCATTTCAATTAATTGAAAGGGGGTTCTTTACCCTCTTCTGATTCTCTCAGAGCTCACAGCACTATGATACCCAAATCCTCGGAAGATGCCTCGGATCCTTGGGACTTTCAGCCTATCTCACTGCTGGATGAAGATATGAAGCTTTTGGGGAAAATTATTAGCACCCATATTAATCGGTACCTCCGCAATCTGATTCATAGGGATAAAGCAGGCTTTATTCCGGGCCGGCAGGTAAGGAGATAACGTTAGAAAAGTGATCCATTTAATACATATTTTGAATCACTGAAAGATCCCGAGTTTTATTCTCTCTCTTGATATCTTCAAGGCATTTAATTCCCTCTCTTGGAACTATTTACGCTATGTTCTACAATGCTGGGGATTTGACAACCATATTTTGGCTTGGATCACGGCCCTCTACTCCTCTCCATCTGTCTGTGTGAAATAAGCTGGTCTTTTTTCTGACCATTCCCCAATCCTCTGAGGCATTAGGCAAGGATGTCCTCTCTCCCCCATCTTGTTCATCTTGGCTCTCAAAGCCATAGCTATTGGATTGCGATCAGACCCCATTATCCCAGGAATCCCTTACACAGGGCCTTCTCTCCCTCTTTTTGGCTTTATCAGGTCTTCAGAATAATTCTCATAAAACAACGGCACTCAATATCTCCTTGCCCCCCTCCTAGGTTGCCCATCTCCAACAATATTTTTCCTACTGCTGGGTGACCTTCTCAATAGATTACCTTGGAGTCAAATTGGCCGTGTCCTATTCAACCCTTTTTTCATCCAACAACTACCCGCTTCTTCGAACGATCACCTCTTTTTTACAATCATGGCAATTCCCCTCCTTATCGTGGATTGGCCGTATACATGCAATAAAAATGACTATCCTCCTAAAAAATTCTTTTATTTTTTCAGAAAATCGCCTGTCTCTGTACCATCCTTTTTCTTACGCCTTCTACAAAACAAGCGTTTCACTCTCAACATTGTATACACACAGACTTAGAGTAGGTCTGGGAGCCCCAAATATTGCAAACTATTATAAAGAAGAGCAGATAGCACAGCTCACCCTACTTCATGCTACCACAGATATCCCCCTGTGGGTGTTCTTGGAACTTCACTATCACCCTTATATACTCCTCCCTAAACTCTGTAGCTTTTTCTTCCATTTCTTTCAAATCTAGCTGGGAGAAGGACCTGGGAGCTTCAATGGAACCAGAGGATTGGACCAAAGCATGGTCTATTATTTCTCGTTGCTTGTTTATCAAGTCCACAATGGAGACCGCCTATAAAGTTCTTTTGCGATTGTATTGGGTCTCTGCCCACATCGCTAGTGCAAATCCTGATTTTAATGACAGATGCTTTCGAGGTTGCGGACAATGTGGTTCATACCTAGTGGTCTTGTCCACATCTCAAGGGGTTTTGGTCCAGGGTATTTAGCCTTTTATACACCATCTTTCAAATTCCCATCTCAAAAGAAGCTAAATTAGCCCTATCGCACTGTCCCATTATAGGTTTGTTTGCTCATCAACAAAAGATAGCCACCTACTTATTTATAGCCACCAAGGGGGTTATAGCCTTCAGTCCCTTTCCACATGGTCAACACTACCCTGATGTTGCATGAAAAGATGGCCAGCATTCTACATGAATCTCATGATAAATTTTTGAAAGTATGGTGCCCTTGGTGGACTTATACCTTCCCTACCCTATCCCCATTGGGTTTGGGTATTCCTTGAGTCTTGATTTGAATCCAGGCCTGCAGGAGCCTTCACTTTCCTTTTCCCTTTACACTTTTCCCCCCGGTTCTCTCCCTTCTTCTCTTCGGTTTCTTTTTATTCTGTTTTCACCTCATCTCAAATGGAACGATTGGTTGATAATTCTAGTATTCACCATTTATCTTCTCAGGACTTGCTCCTGGGACATCAAAGCCATAATGTGGCCTAGGTCGCAAGACTACATTGTGTATATCTATACTGTTTAAAAAAGTGATATAGCCATCGCCCGACTTGATGCATGTTAATCTGTTGGTATGAAGCCCCTGCGCGGGCAAACAGTTGTATTGTATTATTATATGTTTCAATAGAAATATTGATACAGAAAATAACAGTACGTTTTAGGTTGATGAATTTTATACTCATATTTATGAATTATTATGATTGAACAGTTCTGTACTTTGTTATCCCAACTTTACAATATTAAAAAATGCCCCCTGAAAAAAACGTGTAAAGAACAATGGTGATGCACAAACTGCACTAATTTACATCAATAAATCATATTTTATAGACACATTATTGTAGGTTTCGGTGTACCAGTCATGGCACGTTGAACATTACCATATTTGTTATTAAATACATCTGTTTTATTTAACTCACATGTTCAAGAGGAGTTTGTAACAGGAACATCTGTTTGTCCTTGATGCCAGAGATTGCTACTGAGCTTTCAAGCATGTAAAGAGAATACTAATAACTACCAACGAAGGCCAATGTCTGATCGGGTCCTCCTATGTCAGCACAGTCCATGCAGTAGACCCAAGCTGGGTTATTTAGCTGGTTAGCCAAATCTCTAGCTATTTGGAAAAGCATTCAGCAGCTGCTGCAGATAAACAGTAATAGTCACAGTCAAATCTGATTTTTAGTGGCATACATTTCGGTAACACTTCAGGTTTAGCCTTTAAATTACCATTTGACTGCAAAGTTGCTGAGCAAATACATAGTAATTGCATAATCTATCCACACATACAATTATGGACATTTAGCAGCAAATGCCTGAATGACAGTACTATTGTCATGCATTACAGTCCATCTGCCATTGTAAAGCATTAACGTATCACATGCTGTTTGGATCACATACAGTAAGTCTTTGTATCTGCAGTTCTTCTTAATGTATAATTCACTTTAACTGGCACCACTGAAAATAAAAGAGGATTGCTCATTCTGTTTTATTACAGCACCATTAAATGTGTTGTTTTGACATTTCAATTTACAAAACTTCTAGTGTTTAGTCTGCAAAATTTTTATGTTAAATTTTGTCAAAATCATTTAAACTGGGTATAGCATTATGAGGGAAAATTAGTGCGCTGTAGATAATGCAAAACAAAAAGTACAAATATGACCTTGTAGAGCTACTAAACAGAAAAAAAACAAATATAAAAAGCTATATTATAACTAGTAAAGCCTACAAATGTTCAACTAGAGGTTACCCCCCCCCCCCCCCCCCTAGATATGTGCTAGGTTTGGAAAGATAGGTTTAGTTTGTATTTTGAAAAAATACAATATATTTTAAATTTAGTTGTCACATTGTAGGCAGAGTGGTTGTACTTGTTGTTAAGTAAAAGCATAACTTGCACACTGTAATCATTGTTGCTATGTTCTGAGAGTTAGGTCTGCTCAGTATGTTCAGCTGCTGCCAGCCCGATACCTCCCTCTGCATCCAGAAAACTTGAAAAGCTTCTGGAGATCCACCTTATGAGTCAGTGGAATTCTGAGATGGGTTTGACGTACCTGTTATGGCACATTGAACATTACCCTATCTTATTAAATATATCTGTTCATGAAAAGTTTGTAACAGAAACATCTAATAATAGGTGTGAAGCTATCCCGATGGCAGCATGACAATTCATATAGTCCTGGCCTATCCCAAAGAGAGAGGCTCTGATGGCATGCTGGGTAACTGTATACATTCAGTGAGAACACTGAGTTCTGGGTCTTTCCTGTACAGGATTGTTCCAGCCTGGAGAGAGCATGCTGTCCTCCCAGGCAATGCTGCTGTATCTACTGCTGTAGGACTCAGGTAGATGACCTGAGGGCCTAAATGCTGAGATCTGGGTTCTGCTAAAGCTAACTGAGGGCCCTCTATTGAAGATCTGGTCACAGAGGAAGGCAACCAGCTGTTTTTTGGCCTTGTAAGTACAGACACCTCTTAAAGATCTTAGAGACTGTGTTCTACTTAAACCCCTCTGGTGCTAGGAAGTCACCTGCGAGTCTAGCTAAAGGGGACACTGGATGGTGTTCTAAAGAGCTTTGTCCACTTAATCTCCTTCCTAAAGGGACTCTGCTCTCTTTTGCTACTATTATTACTACTGCTGTCTTAACCTCTTCCCATCCGCCCATTCTACATAGAAGGCGGATGGGAAGCAGTGCTGATGAGGGCTAACGTTCCTGTACGTCAGCCCACATCGATGGCTCTTGCGCGGCTCACAGAGTGTGCACCCAGAACCCGGTGATCGGTGTGTTGCCTGGACACAGCGGATCACATTACCACTGTGTTCGGGTGATCACATGGTGTTTTACCATGTGACTGCTGTGATCAATCACAGTACTCACATAGTAAACAATGAAACTGAAATTAAAGATAGCTTCTTTCTGCTCTCAGTGTGAGAGCAGAGAGCAGCGATCCTGCAGTGTGTGAGTGTACAGCAGTCACCCAAGTTCCCTAGTTTAGTGTCCCTGTGTCCCTGATCACTGCCCCACAATATCAATAATAAATAATACAGGGAGGCCCTGTCACCTCTCCCAGTGTGCACAAAACACCCCCATACACCATACCAATGTCCTGATCATCGTCATACCCCAAACCAACACCCTGATCACTGCCATACACTATACCAGTGCTCTGATCACCTCCATATACTATACCAGTGCCCTGATCACCACCATAAACCATACAAGCGCCCTGACCACCACCGTACCCCATACCAGCATCCTGATCACCGCAATACCTCATATCAGCATCCTGATCACTGCCATGCCCCGTACCAGCATCATGATCACCCCTTATGCCATACCAGTGTCCTGATCACCACCATACCCCATACCAGTGTCCTGATCACTGCCATACCCCATACCATCATGATGATCACCCCCATACATGCATTCTGATCACTGCCATACCCCATACCAGCATTCTGATCATGGACATACCCAATACCAGCATCCTGATCACCCCTATACCCCATAACAGCATCCTGGCTACTGCCATACCAGTGTTCTGATCACCACCATACCTCATGCTAATGTCCTGATCATCGCCATACCCCTCACCAGTGTCCTGATCACTGCCATGTGCCATACCAGCTTCTGGCATTTTAGGATTTCAACTGATCAATTTTCAAATATATATCCCATAGTGTGTAGACTCTATAGCTTTCACACAGTCTAAATAATATAAACTGCTTTGGGTTATTTTTACCCCAAAATGTAGCAGAATACCTTTTGGCCTAAATTTATGAAGAAAAATTATCTATTTGCAAAATATTATTACAAAAACTAAGCAAAAAATATTTGTTTTTTTCAAATTTTTGGGCATTTTCATTTCTATAGCAGAGAATAAAAAACCAAGTGGTGATCAAATACCAGAAAAAGAAAGCTCTATCTGTCTCAAAAAAAGGATAAAAATTTCATATGGGTACAGTATTGCATGACTGAGTAATTGTCACTCAAAGTGTGATAGTGCTGAAAGCTGAAAATTGGTATTGGACTGGAAGGGGTGAAAGTGTCCAGACTTGAAGTGGTTAAAGTCTACTGTTTGTTTCAAGCATGAACTGCATCTCTAGCTTATCTGAAAGAATACCTAAAGTCCTCCGCTGTACATAGTTCTTGCTTTTGGAGTATTCCACTTAATTTCCTCAACCCTATCAAAGTTCTCCAAAAATAAAAACAATAAAAAGAAAACCCCTAGACTAGTCATTGAAGAAACGTGTGAATGAGCCTATGTGCTGGCTGCAGGGTATAGCTTTTGGGAAGACCTGGACAGTCTCCCTGTGGCTCTTATGACAGTAATGCTACATATATAATATGCCATAAAGCAAGCTTGAGAACTTTAACAATCTTTTTGGTTATGGTAGAAGATCAAAGTGAGAACTCAAAATGTCTTCTACACACTGGGGTACATTTACTAAATCTGGTGCATTCAGAATCTGATGCAGCTATGCATGGTAGCTAATCAGCTTCTAACTTCAGCTTGTTCAATTAAGCTTTGGCAACAAAACCTGGAAGCTGATGCAGAGCTCCAACACATTTTGCACTCTCCAGTTTTACTAAATAAACTCCACTGGATGTTTAGCTCCTGTGCGACAGGTTTCAGTGTTTTTATGTGGACAGAAGACACAGGTGCACCATCCAGCTGCCTGTAAAAGTCTATGTCAGGTTAAAAAATGCAGAAGCTGGACGCTGTACTGAGTGTTACCAAAATTTGGGTTCAAATGCATTCAGGGGTGAATCAAGATGTTAGTACCACTCTGTACAGCATCCAGTCCCATCCAGTGTCTGTATTTCTTAACCTTTCATAGATTTTTAAAGGCTTCATCTGATCACTTGTGCCTCTTGCCTACACAAAAAAGTTGGATTCTGATGCACAAGGGCTCAACATCCAGTGTGCATGAGGTCATAGTTGGCAAGTTTTGTAATGTATTTGTTATGCTTAAATCACAGATTAATTCTTATACAGTAAAAGCTGTAATTATAAGTACCATGTAAAATCCACTAACAATCCACTAATACTTTCAAAGAAAAATGCACCTGTGTTAACTTGTCCTGTAATTCCATTAAAGTAATGTTAGAAAAAAAATGGTCATTTTAAATATAGTTAATATATTATTGCCTACAATATGAGATTACTTAATCTATTTAAAAATTATACTTTTTCCATAGTTATAGGTTAGGTTGAAAAACAGACACAAGATCAATCAATACAGAAATAAACAAAAGCACTGAAAACCTACTTCCACGTAACCCTAAAATCAATGTTGATCTAGAATAGGGCAAAAACCTTATAAAGAAATTTTTCATATTTTTTGCGAAAAGTAAAATACAATTATAGAAAAAAATTATGAGATGTTCATGACTATGTACCAAAATGCATAGCTGCGGTGGAATATAAATGAACACACACCATATTGTGTGGTAAAGTATCCATGTAGGCATTTTCAGTCTAAAGCTGGCCATACATGGATTGAGTTTTGAAAATTAGAAGGAGCTAGGAGATAAAGTGTCAGCCAAACATTGCTTGCATCCAGGCTGATGCCAGCTGTAAGGAATCTGTAAATTTTTTTTGTTCAAAAATATCTCTGTTTGGCCCTTTAAAAAATTAGTTTCTACTGTACATATCACAGATATGATAGCATTTCAGCATTAGATAATCTTCAGTGAAGTCCCAGTAGCTACAACTATGTGTGGAAAATATCATTATTTAAAAAGGCATATTTATGCGCTACGGAGATGGCATATGAAAATGATATGCAGCCCGCTGCCATGCCATTCAATTAATTGGTTTTAAAATCTATTAGATAATAATTATAATTATTATTTTTATTATTATTAATACAATAAAGGCTTTATATAATCTCCGCAGATTGTTGGGTATTTAGTTTATTTCATTGTATTTTCTAAAAGTGTTATTTATCAATACTTCATGTGTGAAAGCTTACACAAGCATAATTGCATGCACTTAACCATGACAATTGCACTCAATCTATCGAAAAATGTTTGCACTTAAGTGTATACAAGGGGAGAAATAAAAAAAATGCTCAGGCTGGTGAAACGAAAACTGAAATGAAAGATAAAAACAAAACTTTTTTTGTTGGCTAATAACGTAAAGAGGGATGGGGATGGGTGGTCATATGAAAGTGCTCTTATGTTTGACACATGTGCGACCAGGTCGCAGTTCTCAGGATCACCCCACTAGGAAGTGAGCAAGCCAGAATCCAGTAACTGATATGGCAGGTAGGGATCTAGCAGAAGCGTAGTCAGTAAGGAAGCCAAGGGTCGGTAACAAGCGGTAGCAGGTTAGGATGAAGCAGAATCGTAGTCAAGGAACAAGCCAAAGTTCTTTAGCGAAGGTATGGATGGCAGCAGGAGAGACAAAGTGAGATACTGGCTGGAGAAGGCACAATAATCTGGCAACCAGGAAGTGCAGAGACATTTAAATCAGGAAATTTATGGCAGGAGCAAGGAGTTCAAGGTTCATCAGAAAACAAGGAACAAGGCAGGATTGTACAATAGATCAGGCAGAGTGTTGTCCAGCATCCCAGGAAGCTAAATGAGAAGAGTTACTGCCTGACACAGTAGAGGTCCCAGGTCCCAGGTTCAAGTCCAGGCCCTGGCAGGGGGTGAGAGTTTTTGCTAAGAGGGGGTGGGGGGATTTGGGCTAAGAGAGCAATGGGGGGGGGGGATTTGGGTAAAGCGGAGAGGACCAGGGATGGTTTGGGTTGAAGGGAGGATTTGTGCTGGGAAGAGTAATTTGGAGGGGTTAGTGCTAGAAGGGGGGATTGGGGGGGGGGGGGGTTATGCTAGGAGGGAAGATTTTGGGGATAGGATTTCTGCTAAGATAGGAAATTTGAGGAAAAGAGGATGTGTTAGGAGGGGTGAATTTTTTGGGTAGGGGAGATTTTTGCAGGGGGCATCGGGGGATTTAAACTGGGAGGTAGGATTGAGTGGCAAAGACTTCTGTTGGGAGGGGGGGATTTGGACTAGCAGGAGGAGGAATTATTACACTGTGCTGTTGGCTTGCAGAGGGAATATATGTTTAGGAGGTGAGCGTACTGATCAGTGCTGTTTTTTTTTTAAAGGGGAAAGATTTATGCTGAAACATAAAATCAGGGCACTCAACAGATCTCCTTCCCTAAAAAACACATATCTGAAGTCAGATTTCCTAACAGACACAGCCGCAATCTGTAGCCAGCTACACACTGTGCACACACACACTGTGCTGTGTCTATAAGGGAATCCAATCTCAGCTATGTGTTGTGTGGAGTGGAGGAAATCTGGGTACCCAGGCTATTTGCAGTGTGGAGATGGGAGGAAGAGATCTGAGTGCTCTGCCAGCAGTGACCCTGTCCTCTTATCTGCTGACCAATGTCTTCTGCCCTTCTGACCCTTTACACCGCTCACCCCCTGTTTGAAAAAAGAAAACAAAAAATTATTTTTTTTCTTACCTTTTTTTTTGCAAAATCCAGTGACAAAAAATTATATCTGCAAAATACTCACTATGCCTTTGATCAAATTCCTATGGGTGTCTACTTTCCAAAAAGGGGTGATTTGGGGGAGGGTTTATACTATCTTGGCATTTAAGGGCCTCGAAAACTGTGATAGGTAGAGAAGAAGTGACATAAGGAAATATGCGCTTTGAAAGCCTGAAGGTGGTCATTGGATTATGGGGACCTGTGTGTGTCTAGGCTGCTAAAAAGTATCTCTAGTATCTCTAGTATCTCTAGATAGTGTGATCTCCATACTCAGGAAAAGCAGCAGAAAGTTTTGGGGTGTTTAATTCACATACATCCATGGCATGTGTGAGCAATATTTCATTTAGCTGAGCAAACTGTTGGCGCTATATAAATGCTGTGTAATAATAATAATAATAATAATTTAAGTTACAACTTTGTGTAAAAAATGTTTTTGTAATATTCCAAAAAATTTGTGGTGAAAAATTAAATCTTCCACGGACTCAACATGCCTCTTAAAAAATTCCTTGGGGTGTCTACTTTCCAAAAAGGGGTCATTTGGGGGAGGGGGGCTGTACTGCCCTGGCATTTTAGCACCTCAAGAAATGTGACAGGCAGTCAGAAAGTTAAAACTGTGTAAATTCTAATATACAGTATATACCATAGTTTGTAGACACTAACTTTCACACAAACCAATTATTATACATGTATTGAGATTTTGTTTTATCAAAGACATGTAGCAGAATACATTTTGGACTAAATTTGAGTTTATTGGGTATTTTTATATAACAGATAATAGAAAATATTGTTTTTTTTTTTTTTTTGTTCCAAAATGTTTGGTCTTTTTCACTTATATCACAAGTATAAAAACCCAGTGGTGATAAAATACCAACAAAAGAAAGCTCAATTTGTGTGGGAAAAAAAAAGGACATACATTTTGTTTGGATACAGTGTTGCATGACCACGCAGTTACCAATTAAAATACCACAGTGCCTAATTGCAAAGAATGGCCTAGTCGG